CCTTTTTCTTTCTAATGCAGGACTGGGAAGTTAGAAGATTTGGAAGTGTTTTTTCTTTTCAAATACTCTGCTGTGTTATAGTAATTTTTGTACGGAGGATTTCTCTTTCAAAGCAGTTAAGTAAGCACATGTCTATTAAGAAGTATGGACTAAAATGTTTTTCTATGTTTAACGGATCATGTACAAGGAATGCAGTTTTAAGAGAGCACCTAGAGTGCATCTTGAGAGCCATTAAACCACTTGAGCAGCTAAGTGAACTGTTCACTGATAACCACTGTTTACTTTAGTCTTCAAAAGTGTTCACCCGTTTGTTAATTACATTACAAAATAAATAAAGGGCAGATGATAAATATTCATGTATAGGCCTTGAAGAGGGACAGGAATATTGGTAATTTCAAAACAAAATCAGGTAGGGTTTTTTTGTGTGTGTGTGTTTGTACAGATGTATTGAAAAAGTAATCTGACCGTGATTCATGTTGGAGAACCATTTAAGAGAAACATTCTTCAAAGAAATATGTCTATGAAAGAAATGTATGGATCCTTGTGAAGCCATAGTGCTTTGCAATTGCTTTTAAATTACATGTGCACTGTTTGGCTATAGTTTACAGGGTGAAGACAGGTACAGCTGTGCTCATGGATAAACTGGTGCTTACACGTCATTCAATATTTATATCTTCTTGTGATTAGCTTTTGTCCAAAGTCGCTAGCTCTCTTCAGAGGAGCTTGGAAGTGCTAGTCAAACTCTTCTAATGGGTTTTCTCCAGGCAGAACATCAGCTGCACAACTCAGCAGATGATCAAAATTCTGTTTGGTTTTCTGATTAAGACACTCAGAGTACCTAGTAGAAACCAAATGTAATCTAAAGTGTTGTCCTAAGAGGAGAAGTGGGAGTAAGCACTCAGGGAAGTGTGCACTAGATCTGTAAGGGCACCTGCTAGAATGATCTCCTTTTCTACAAGTTTACTTCTGAAGAGTGGGTATGGAAGTAAATGAAGGCTTCTGTTCTTTCCTGAAGTGACTAATATTAGAGTGTACTTACCCTGTCAGCTCTGATTCTTAGAGCAGAGTCTGCTGTCTCCCTGTGCAGTTTATTCCTTACAGAAAGGTGGATTGAACCGCTGGATGGCTGACCTGTTTTAGGCATGTTGGTGTTCTCTCCATGCTGCCCTTGAACTCTCCTTCAGTAGTTGTAGGTGCCTGCCTTCCAGTTAATGTACTTTCTAGATAAGACCAAGATCTTGATAGATTTTAAACCTAGTAACAGGCACTTACTGTTACAATTAAATAATATGTAATTTACTAGAATTGTGCAGGAGAGTCTCTTTGTAGTCTGTTTAACTTTGAGAAAGCAACTAGGTTGTTAATATTTTTAAAACTAAATATTGGATCATCTGATACTTCAGGTTTTGTTTTGGCTTCAATGTTTGGGTCCATGCAGATTTCAGCAAACTTGTCACAGGGCATATTTTAAACGTTCTCAAAATATGAGTCATACCTCTACTTAGGCCTATGATTATTTCATTTTCAAGTATTCAGCAAACTTAATTCAAGAAATGTCTTTACCTTTTCGTGTAATGATTATAGAGTTTTTCCCTGTTGTTGGTATTTAAAGTTACACATTTGTTGTCCCATACTGTACTTTTATTTCTTCTCCATCTTACAAATATCCCATGCATGGGGTTTTTTTTTTGGTTTGCTGTCGTTTGTTTTTTTATTGTTTGCTTTTATGTTAGCTGGGATTTCCGACTGTGAAATCAGTTCAGACTGGCAGTGTCAGTAGGGATGTTCCCAGCTGATCTAGCACCAGAGATCTGAGATAGAAAGCTGAGTCAATACAAATGTAACTAGGGCTCTAGCTGCTCTATTATTTGTGGTCAAATTAAGTAATACTTTGACTTTTTCAATTTTCTTTCTACTTATATGAAGATGTCTAGATAACAAAATCAAGCAGGTACCCTGCTATCTAGAAGCAGGACTAAATAGGAAGAGTTTTGCTACTGAGGAAACGTAAGT